GTAGCTTCCATAGGATCCTGAGCTCTGGCAAGAGTTATTAAAGTGTGAGCCTGACTCCTGACTTGTTCTCTGTTTTGAGAGGTAGTCTCTCCCACATATACCGCCCCTATCGAGGCACCACCCACCCTGGGGTCCTCACCAGAGCCATGCCGGTGGCAGTCCATTGCCCTTGGCCCTCCAGAACTGTCAACTGTGTAAATGTCTTCTCCTCACAGAGTTAGCCCACCTCTGTTATTTTGTTACAGAAATGAAAAATAGACTAATACAGATACCACAAGAACAGAATCCTTTAAGGACATAAGCATGTTTAACCTTCAGATGCTTCTAAGAGGTCAGGTAATAAAAGGACGAGAACGAGTCCATAGCTTTGACAACAAGGAAGCCATTGCATTGTGACTTTGATGAAAATAGCTTCATTAAGTAGTGGCAGTGGGAGTCTTACTGTGTTGGGTGAGGAGTGAAAAGGGCAGTGGATACAGAAGGCACACACCTTAATTTTAAGAGGCAAAGGAGAAAGATGTGGAGCAGAAACCAGATCCAGTTGAAAGGAACACTTTGTCCTTGTGATTTTCATTTGATGGTGTTAAGATGGAGGAATTGTATGCATGATTAAATGTAGCATGTAGCTAAAGAGAGGAAGGGTAAAAAGCCAGGAGAGAGGTCTGAGCTACCCACGCCCAGAGGAGTGCGTGTGGAGGTGGAGTGTGAAGGTGATAGCGGTGACTAAGAAAAAGACGTTACTATCTCCATGGTGATCAAAGGAGGAGGTAACTGAGTCAGGCAGAGAGCGCAGTTAGATTTATGTTAGATGGGGTTTTGATACAGGCCAGTGTGTGTTTTGTACCTGGGGAAAAAAAACCCTCAGATTTAATTTGATTTAAACAATTAGTGTTCAATTTATTAAGATTACAAATTCAAAAACTCAATTCGTCCTTAGGCTTTATGTTCCCTCTCACAAATCTTACTCTATTTAGAAATCTAGCAAAATTGAATAGTCACTTTCTAGGGGCTTGTGATTAATGTTTGGTCCTTTTTACCAACTTAAACACGTTCAAATATTTTAAACAACATTTAAAAGTGTGATATAGTCTATTTCCTTTTTAAGTACCTCATTTATGTGCTTGTGCAAAACTTTCTGACTACTTAATAAGTGTTATAAAGCTATAAAATTTATGGAGTAGGCTTAAAGTCCTCTTAAATGTTATAATAGTATGTATAAACGTAGGAGGAGTTTAGCCTAACATCAAAAGTCTAATAAGTCAATTAAGTATTTTCAATTGGTTTTCAAAACCTGTCAGTCTAATAGGTCAAAATCCGTAAATATTAATAGGATAGAAAGCAGATGTGCATGAAAATATTAATAGCATGGCTTTGATGCTTTAAACCTGTCTGTATTTAATCTTTAAATCTTGCTTAGAGTTGAGCAATGTACAATCAGCAAGGAAGAAAATTACTTGAAAAAAACTGAAGCCATTTTCAGCCAGATAGTTTGATAAAGCTGCAGGCGTCCAGAGCAATTGACATCCCCCCAACTGTCATACAAAGCCCTTTTGTAGAGTAGCAGTGTCAGAAGCTACAAAACTTAAAAAGGGTTTGGTCTCATAGGTCCTGTTGCCCACATCTCTGGATTTGAAATACACACAGTACCTGATTTCTTATCTACTGTGAAACAGAGGCAGATTTATAGATACATATATGTTCCATCCAAGCATTAAAGGCCTTTGAGTTTGATGGGATTCTGATATTTGTAATTTTTTTCTCATTATACCTTTGAATTTGAAAGCCTAAAATAAATAAAATTTATTATTTTGCTAGGAATCAAACCCAAGTGCTTGGTAGGCAAGCACTCTACTACCACTGAGCAAAAACCTCCAGCCTCAATAAATGTATTTTTTATTTAAAAATGGAATACTTGCTATGTAAATATCTTTTCTACTTAACATACTTTGAATTTGATAGAACCCCACATTCTTTTGTATTCTGAGGACCACTTACTGGTTATAGATGTTCACATGACCTCTAGTTGAGTTTTAGATATCCGTGATTAATCTGTGTCTGATTTGCTGTTAGGGCTGGTGGTATAGCTCAACGACACAAGCGCTTGCCTGGCAAGCACAAGGTCCTGAGTTCAATTCCTAGTACCAAAAAAAAAAAAAAAATTGATTTGCTGTTAAAGTGTGATTTCATTCCTCTGAGACTGTATGGGGAAGAAGAAGGATGCTGAGGCAGTTTTCATCTGATGGCTTCTGTTTTCTCTGTAAGTTAGAACATAAAGTTATCTGTTAAAGAAGGTGGGAGTTACATAGGAGGTGAGAAAAGAACCTTTAAAATAGATTTGGGAATGGGAAATCTGAGCTGATCTGTGCTGCCTATGGTATATCTCAAATATGTGACATTAAGTCCATTGAAAGTGGAAACAGTATTCATGATGTCATATATTTATAATTCACATTTACTATTTATATGTTTTATATTAAATATATTCATTTAGTATATTCATTTAGTATCCTTGAATATTTGCCATTGATGACAAATATTCTTTGCAGCTGAGCCAGTCTGAGTTTAGTGTCAAAGACCTTCACTAATAAAGGAATTAAAGGATCATTTATTATGCAGCAAAAAGTTCTAGATTCATTTAACATTTATTTCCATTTGCTAGTCAATTACCAGCTGCCAGAGCATATTAAGTATTGTTAATTTGAGTTAGAAGCTGTCACCCCTAAGTGTATTAATTCTGCCTAATCATAGGTAGCAATTTGTCCTATGAAAGAACAATATTAATCATCGACTTCCATCTGTCTTCATGATGGTATAAAACTGCCACTGGGTCCCATTGTTGAAGTGATGTAAATCATTGTAGACACCAAAAATGAAAGCTGACAGTCATGAGTCATGAGTGTCTTGCTTCATGTTAACAAGCTTCTCATTGTTTCCAGGTTGAGAGGAAAAATGACAATTTTCAAAACTTTTTGCTTCTTAGTCTTAAAAATGTAGTTTCTTATTACTATTACAAGCTAACATTCATGGAGTATTCATGGTATGCTAGGCATCATACTCACAACTCTACGAATTTCTTAGCTCAATTTTTCCCAAAACCGTGAACTTAATTGTTGTAGTTCTTGCACTACCATAGCTTGCATTTTGCAATGAAGGATTAAGAGAACTTGAGTAATTTATTACCCCAAATGACTTAAATCCAGGCAATTGAATGCCATAACCCTTTCTCTCCACCAGTGGTCTTCACTGATAGATGGCATCTGGTTTTCACTAAGTTAATCAGTTAGGAATGCATTTGGATGCAAGTAACTAAAATACAGTGTATGGTGGTCTACAAAATAGTAGTTTTTTTCCCACTTAATGGGATGGATATGTAAATAGCTACTCACTTAGTTTTAGTACTTTAGCAGTGCCAGGACCAGCAACTTTAGTTCCTTGTATTTTTCCTAATGGCAGAAAAAAAACAGCTGCTTCAATCCCAAGGATCACGCCTGAGCTCAGGGCAGGAGGGTGGGAGGGGAAGGAATTGGCACTAGCCATGACTGTATAATTTATCATAAAAACAAAACCTTTCTCACTTACATGTTTGTGGGTACAAAACTATTTTATATGACCGCCCTTCATGGGCAGAAGACAGAAGCAGAAGGGAGTTGAGGATGGTTGATGGACCAGCCTTGGACCAAAGATGTAGAATTCACAAGCTGTGTAGGAAATTTTCACATCTGTTTTAATGTCTTCTTTGAGTGGAAGGCTGTGGTTATCTGCATAATCCCTAAGGTATTTATTCTTGTCCTGTTTTCTAGAATATGTTCCCAGATAATAAGAGAAGGCTGTGATTCCATTAATGGAGTTAGGAATCACTGGTTGCAAGTAACACCAGCTAGTGGATACTGAGAAAATAGATGGATTTCGGTCACTTGTCCAACAAATATTTATTAAGCACTTATATTCCAGATACTCTTGTAGGTTGTGGCCATATATCAGTGAACAAAACTTTTGTTTTGTTTTTGTTTCTGTATTTTGAGAGAGGGTCTTGCTATGTAGTTTAGGCCGGGCTTGAACTCACTATGTAGCCCAGGTTTGCCTGGAACTCACCATCCTCCTGCCTTCACCTCCTGAGAGCTTGAATTACCTGCATAGGCCACCACAACCAGCAGTGATCAAAACTTTTTTTTAAAAGAGTAAGGAAAAAGAAGAAGAAATCTCACAGAACCCAAAGGCAGGAGTGCAGCAGGGCCTCGGGAGGGATAGAAACTGAAGGTAGAGGAGCTCCCTGAAATCCAACCAGCCCCTCTGAGCACGTCCCATTCACTGCTTTCTCGCTGGGCACCATGGAAGGATGGGTCAGCCCACAGAGCCTGACTTGTCCTGTTCTATTCCAGCGAGCAGCTCACCCTGAAGCAGTCTCCAGTCCCAACTCCAAGCACATAGGCAAGAGAGTTTGAATCCACTGAGGCCAGGGACAGTCTACTCTTCGCGTGAGGAGTGGAGTTACAGGGTCACCTGAGTGGAGCAGAAGCCTGGCATAGGAAGGTGTCTACCTTACAAAGCTTTCTGTCCCTGCTGTCTACTGTGCAGCTGTCAGTGCCTCTGTAGCCGCTCAGCCCACCACCCCGGAGGTGTGCAGGTTCCCTCCCCCTGGAAGAGCACATTTGTTCAGCTCTGTAAAAATTGCCACTGTCAAGGCTGTTTTGAATGTTTCCAGATCATATGTCTTTTCCCCACGAACTCCTGCCTGCCAGATAATGGCAGAAGTGAGGCTCCCTTCTCATTATAAACCGAGCCCTCAGAAGCCAGCACCCCTGTTAATCAATTCATTTCCAAAGTACACACTGTAACTTGGGTCAAGATATTCTTTCATAACCCACTTAAATTGTAAGTCCGTGAGATATAGCTGTTGTTGATTTTCGTTTTTAACCTTTTCTTTGTTTTGAACCAGTGGGTGTTTTTCCATTCAGGGATAAACTGAATTGCTGACCCGCTGCTCTTCTGTTTCTCCGCAGGCTGTGGAGTCCCCTCCACAGGGAGGAGGATGGGCCGGCTGGGGGTCCTGGGGCAAATCTTTGCTCTCATCTGCATCTGCCACCGTGGGTAAGCATGAGCTGTTACGACGGAAAAAGGTCAAAAGCCTGATAGGATATGACATTCTGATTGTACCTGATAGTGGTAGAGTTCAACATTAGCCCATCAGCAAACCATTTTTAGTGTTTACTCTTCTAAGTGCTTCATGTGTATTAATGGATTTGTTCCTCTAAATAACCCTGTAAGGAGGTACTCTTGTTTTCTGCATTTTACAGCCAGTAAGCCAAATCATAAAGATACTAAGACCTTGTCCAAAGTCAAGAATGTGTACATGGAAAATAATAATAAGAGGATAACAATTGTTAATATACCATGTATAACGATCTCATAAGAATGACTGAGTTGTTACTCAGAGTACAGGTCATAAAAAAAGATTGTCTCTTACAAAGAAGAAACAAACAAAAGGACAAAACTTTCTTTACAATGGAAAAAAGAACTAAAAAAATTAGACCTCCCAAAATAAAAGACTCAGTCAAAAAATGGGCAACTGAAAAGAATAGACAACTCTCAGAAAAAGAAGTAGAAATAAACATGTTGAAAAATGTTGAACAAAGACATGTTGAAAAATGTTGAACATCACTGGCCACTAGAGAAATGCAAATTAAAACTATATTGAGTTATCATCTTACCCCAAAAAGAATGACCATCCTCAAAAAAATCGAATAATAACAAACCTGGCAGGATGTGGGAATAAGGAACTCTTCTACATTGTTGGTGGGAGTGTAAACTAGTGCAATGACTTTGAACCACTGTATTTTATTGCCTTTTAACATGTAAGAGTTGAACTTATAATACAACCTTAGCTTTGGAACTATATCCCAGTTGAGTATTTTTAAATGTAAAACTTAATTACTTCTTAAACAATTTTGAGGTATCTTGATAAAAATCATTTCATCAACCATACATTAAAATACAAGTAGAACAGAATATGCAAGTAGGAGGCATATGTATGATAAATATCCCAAAGCTAATAGAGCTATGGTAATTGAGCACTGACCTGAACTTGGAGCTTCCTGGCTACCAGTACATTATTTATTTATCACTGAATGATCAAATTTAGTTTATCTAAACAAATCTATTTTCTGGTCTTAAAAATTTAAAGAAACTTCCTGTATTTGTCTTAATCAAAGAGAAAGGATAATGGCCAGTATCTTCATCAGTGCAGGTTTATCAAGGTAACTCTTCCTGTTATCTTTTTTTCTTTCCATTTTTCTTTGTTTTCTCTTTCTTCCGTACTAGGGCTGAACCCAGGGCCTCACTCATGCTAGGCAAGCACCCCACCACTGAGCTGTGTTCCCAGTTCTCCTGTCATGTCCACTCTTCATGAAAACCAAAGGTTCAGTATCAAAACGTCTAACATAATTTAGCAAAGACATTTCATGTTGAAGCAGAAGGTTAGGAGGAAGACCGGGAAGCCACAGGTGACATGGCTTTCGGATCTCCTACCTTAGGTATTCTCAAGGTACAACATGGCTGTGGGGATCTTGTGATGGGCCATGAATTGGCCAGTTCATGGTTTCTCCTAAAACCAAGAGGACAAGAAGGCATTGAGGTCTTCTGCCTCACCCCAGTGGACCATAGTCCCAAGGGTTTCAGGACCAGAGCTCTAACTTGCTAGACTTAGACTGCCGAGAAGAATGGATAAGTTGTGTTCCCCTAATTGCATCACTCTCCAGTCTCAATTTTCTCAGGAGGGATCTAGCAGGAAGCACACAGGGCAAAATAAACGTTGCTTCTCTGGTGAGAGCCTGGAAAACAGATTTTCTCTATTGCTAACTGAAGGGGCCAGGTGTGTCTTGGATGCCACATATGCAGGTGACAAAATGAACCGGATCAAAGTGAAAAGAGCATCTTTTGTTTTCTGAGAAGGACTCACAAGAGTAAGGACTAGCACCTGAGGATCTCTTCCTTCCTTGGAAAAATGTTTGAGCTTTTAATGTCCTTCAAAATGGGAGTGAGCTGGGGACATAGCTCAGCGGCACAAGCACCTGCCTGGCAAGTGCAAGGTTCTGAGTTCGATTCCTGGTACCAAAAAAAAAAAAAAAAAATAGGAATGATTTGCTTTTAGAACCAAAAACTAAAATAAAGAATCTTTAAAATTAGAGTCATTCAAGATAAATAATATGCTCACCAAAATTACGCAGCTCTCTTCATGGTTTTTTGTCCTAAAGTAGAAAACGTTCTGGATGGTCCCAGTTACAATGATATCCCAAACCACTGTTTTTTAATGAGTTTGGTGCTTCAGGAGCCTCTGTTAGAGATGGAAGATTTACTTTCTCACACAGTTTTAAATGTAAGTTTCCCCCACAGCAGGTGGATAAATCATCTGCCCTGTGGGTGGCAGTTAGAGGTGCTTTCTGTACCCACAGAAAGGTGCACCCGCCTGCCATGGCTCTGGACCTAGCTGGTCACACCACTACTTCTCATCACTGACTCTGGGCTTCGCTGAACCTTTATAAGATTTTCCATCTGAAGGCTGTTGAATTTCCTACCCAGCATCTGTTATAAGGTGCAGCCTTGGTTCAGATGCTCTGCGTTCCAAGGCCCCTCGGTTTTGTTCCCCGGTTCAGACACACCTGAGAGATGATGTTGATTTTACTGCATGAAAAGCAGGATGTGATTTATAGCAAGTCCTGCTCTATACTGGCAGGCATGTTGGGCTTGATCTGAGGTCACTGACTTAATTTGCAGCCTGGGCTTGTGTTTGATTTTGCTCCTGAAGTTTCCCTGTGTCTGAAGCACTGTAAAATTGATTAAGTACTGAGTCTTGGGACAACCACTTAAAAACGCTGGCTGTGTGTAGTACTTGATCCAAAAAAGGGTGAAGGTCCACTGCTCAAGGGGCAGCAGGATCATCGCGCCATGTGCACTGTTGCCACATTCCTGCTTGTGAATGGTGAAGACCAAGTTTCTCTGCGATTTCATGACATTTGCACATCACCCCATAAAATATCAGAATGAAATTCAGTTACCTTCGTATTAGCTTGTATTGCTGTTAAGAAATCACCACAAATGCGGAGGCTTCAAACAACAAACATTTATTACTTTACAGTTTCCCTGGGCCAAGGGTTCAGGTATGGGCAGCTGCTCCCTGTCTGGGCTGAAGTCCAGGTGTCACCAGCCGTGTGCTCATCTAACATTCGCCATGGCCTGAGGCAGCGTGCCAGCTCGGCCATGGCAGACTGGGTGGTACATCTGGCAGTGGCGCACACAGAGGGTGAAGCCAAGTGCTCAACTTAGCTGCCACCTCTGCTTTAAAGGAGGCATCTTTAGGGTTATTCAGATTCTTGGCAGAACTCAATTCCTTTACAGGACTCAGGTCCACGTATGCTTGCTGGGCATTGGCCATGAGTCACTCTCAGTTGGTAGAGGCTGCCCTAGGTCCTTCTGCAAAGCCAGGAGGATAAACTCTCCCATGCTTCAAATCTCTACCTTTAGCCGGGTGTGGTGACCCACATCCGTAATCCCAGCACTTGGGAGGCAGACGCAGGAGGACTGCTGTGAGTTCAAGGCCCGCCTGTGCTACATAATGAATTCAAGGCTAACCTGAACTATATACTGAGACCCTATCTCAAACAAAACAAAACAAAACAAAATCTCTACCTTTAGGTAGAGGTCATGCCTGTGTTAAAGCTCACCTGATTAGTTCAGGCCCACCAAGGACATCTCTGTGGTTAACTCAATAGTTAGAGAACCATAATTACATCTAAAAAAAAATCCCTTTGGCTCTGCCAGAAAAGGTGACCTTCACAGGAGTGAAAGCCCATCATATCCACAGTCCTGCACACACCCAGAGGAGAAGGGACTCTATAGAGTACATGCATCTGGAGATAAGACAATGGATACCATCTCTCTGTACAGCCTACCACACTTTCTCTTCTGCTGGACTCACACCCAACAGTCCAAGCAACTCCACCTTTTTTTACATTAGATTTTATTGGTATATTTTAGATATACATGATGATCACATACATCATAGGGAATCTATACCTGTACATAATATAACTTGTTCTCCACCCTATTCCCCACCCTCCCTTCAACCCCTCCTGAAACTCCACCCTTTATATAGCTCTGGTGACATGCTGGACTTTGAAAGGGCGTGAACCTTAGTGTTTTTCTCTTCTTGGCACCCACTGTGGCAAAGGGCATGTGAGGAATTCATAGGATTTTTGAGATATACACATTCTCAGAATCTCTTTGGACAAACCTTGGAAAGGCAGGCACTAAAACTGTTCATCACCACTGGGCAGTGGATGCAATGGAAACGTAACAATACCATAGCTAAGTTACTCCTGAAACGTGTCGTGGAGACTTCTGGTCGAAATGTGCCGTGACTGTACATAGCCATAGCAGCCAGAATAAGAGCTGTGTGTATTTAAAACTGGTGAAGAAACTGTGTGGACCCGAAGCGTGAACTGCTTGTGAACCAAGATTGCCTTCATGGGTTTCCAGGGTGGATACAGGCGGCTGTGGTGGGGAGTGTGACAAAAAGGTAGTAAGGAATTATGGGGGTTGGAGTGGGGCTCAGCCATCTGTGAATGGAGGCTTTCAATAGTTACAGGTTCCTTCCTGGACTGTGGTCTTCATTGAGTGGCTACCTTGGGATTGGAAGAGGCAAGTGACACACAACTTTTATTCCACACAGACATGACATCAATCCCAGGGCTTTGCAGCATTAGCAGTTTGTTATCATAGGGCAAAGAAACTTATTGGAAAACAGAGCACTCACAGCAGTAGACAAGCTCCGGAAGGTGTATAAGTTGCCTGTGGAAAGTAAAGAAAGAGAATAACCACCTGTTCAGTTGCAATTGATTTCCACTCTGTAGCCTCATGTTACCCCCAGGGTAATTCCAGTTGGAGACAGGAGAGCAAAGCATGTAGCCCTTAACAAAACACGATGCTAGAAGCCCAAACTTCTTGCTATTGGTGACAAAGTCAGTCACAAGAGTAGGAACTGTGTAGAGGTGGCAGGAGAGTAATTGGAGAACAGGAGCCTTTGGAAGACAGTG